TCGGCGCCGGCCTTCCTGTGTGCTCCCTCCAGATCCCTCCGCTCATTTGAGGGAAACCGCTGCCGACGCCCTCGGGTTCCGGCCCGGGATCCTGACACGAAAGGAGTGCGAAGTGCAAAGGCCGCCACCTGGGGGCTACCTTCATTTTTCATTCACTTATTTATTCATCCATCCAGCCTGCCATCCATCCATCCATCCATCCATCCATCCATCCATCCATCGCTCAACGATATTTTATGGAAAGCCTTCCAAGGCAAACACTATTTTAGGACCTGATATGACAAGGAAATAACTCAATGAACAGGGCAATGTGGGATAGTGATAAGGGCCGCAAAGAAACTGAACCAGGTGCTATAAAAGGAGCGGGGTGGGGGAGAGCTATTTTAAATTAGGCAAAGTTAGGCCTTTCTGAGTGAGGGGTAATTAATCTGAGGCCTGAAAGGTGAGAAGAAGCAGGTCAAACAAAGATCCAGGGGAACAGAGAGCCAGAGGGGAGGGAACAGCCAGTGCAAAACTCTAAAGCCTGGGGCATTTGGCAGGTCAGGGGTCAAAGTGGGTGAAGCCAAGGGAACTAGGGGTAAAGGGTAGGAGGAGCTGGAGAGGTGGGCAAGACAGGCCATGGTGGTAAGGGGTTCGGACATCATACCAAATGGGATGGGAAGGCATTGAGAGGATTCAGACCAAGGAGCGATGTGATCTGGTTTACATTTTACACGTCTCTTTGGCCACAATATAGTGAAAGAGTCCAGAAAACAAGAAAGCTACAGATAAACCAGCAGTTCTAATTCTCCGTTCCTCTCCCCACCCCCAACCCCAGTTGGTGTGGAGACCAACCCGTTCAGTCCAGGCTTCTTTCCTTCCTCCTTCATTTCATCATTCTGTCAACTCAACATTTGCTAAGTGTGTTCCTGCGGGGCACCAGGAATGCACTCAAGTACAGCACCCCTCGGGTTCCTGCCCTTATAGGGCTTGCAACCTGGTTTCCCGTTTACAGGCTGCACAACAGCTCAGCTTCTCCCTCTGCCCAGTCCTGCTTCCCGCCCGCCCGCCCTTTTTAACAGGTATTAATTCTGAACACTGAACACTATGTTACACAGAATGACACCCCCCCCCACACACACACACACAGAGAGAGATGTCCGTCTGAATCCCTGAAACCTGTAAATGCCATACAGGTGTGATTAAGTTTAGGATCTTGAGATGAGAAGTTTATCGTGGATTATTCAGGTGGACCCAATGTAATCACAGGTGTCCTTATGAGAAGGAGACCACAGATGAGATAGATGAGAGAGAGAAAGAGAGAGAAGGAGAAAGAAAAAGAGAAAGAGAGGAGAGAAGGAAAAATGATGGTATCTGCTGGCTTTGAAGATGAAGGGACCATAAACCAAGAAATGTAGTTGTGATTTGGAGTGGTGAAAGTTCTAAAATTGGTTGCGGTGATGGTTGCACCCCTCCATGGATATACTAAAAGCACTAAATTAGGAACTTTAAATGAGAAAATTATGTGAATTATGGCTCAAAAGCTGTTTAAAAGAGAGATGGTACCACATTTTCCCTTAGCTAGGATCACAGGTGTGGAAATACCTGAAACTGCTACAACCATAGTTGAGCCATGAAGGGAGTCAGCCTGGGGCAAAGCCCACAGAGGATGGGAGGGAAAAGATGAAAAGAACCTAGGTCCCTGAAGACATCATTGGGCCACATGGTTCCTCTATGCCTAGAGCTTGCTCAAACTCTAGACATCCTATTATGTGAAATAATGAAATTCCTTATTGTTAAACCAGTCAAAGTCAGGGATTTCTGATCCTTGAAGTCAAGAGCACCGACTTGATAAACTACAAGCCACAAGCTATTAATGGATAGGAGACACAGTGAGGACAGTGCTTTAAAAAAAAAAAAGATGTAGTTTGAAAGGAACAAAACAGATAAAAATAGATGGCAGAAAGGAGCTACAGTAACTGACATCAATGGCATGTTTAAACTTTTCTTGTTTCTAAAATTATTCTCCAACTATTTCCCTGGGCCTGTGCCATACTCATATTCTACAGATTTATTAACAATAAAACAGAGGTAAAGGTTCAGAAAAAGTGATATAACACTCATATCACCTTGAATAGCCTTATATGTAGTAAATGGATCCTACTTGTGAGAGTGGATTCTCCTCAGTCAGAACTTCTACCACAGAAAATTATCTACAAATTCTTATAACATTCATGTTGGTTTATTTACTCATTTTATGCACACAGATCCTTTTTTAGCCTACTTTGTTTTCCTTTAAGAAAAATATGAAATGGTGTTCTTATGGTATTTATGCTTCAAATCTCTTCCTTATTGTAACCTTTAATACTCAGTGCATCTACTACTATCAGATTGGAAACATGTAAATGAGACCTTTCAAGAAACCAGTGGGTCCTAGGAGAGGGAATGTCTTCCAGAGTATGACATGGGATCTTACAAGAACCCTCTGTAATGCCCATTCTCATGCATGATTTACACGGGCTCTGCCTTTTCCTGAATGTCACTTCTTTTGTTAATGTGTCCCCTTGTCATCTGTTGCCACCTACTCCCCCTGATGACATCTGGGCCCTGGCTGGAATTTTCCAACTGCGTGTTTAATGTAGGAGTGAAAAGGGACAAAGATTGGATCCATGTTGATTGTATTAAGCAGTCTCCAGTATTGTTTTTGAAAAACACAGGCTGCCAGAGTAACCCAACTTCTAAATATCCTGAAACAAGAAGATGGAAATTCTATCTATAACAAACTTAAGTAGCTTTTTAAGACCTTATTTTCAGAGCAGTTTTAGGTTTATAACAAATTGAGAAGAAGGTACAGAGATTTCCCATATATCCCCCTGCCCCTGCACTTGCATAGCCTCCCATTATCAACATCACTCACCGGAGTCTCTCTCTCTCTCTTTCTCTGTCTCTCTCTCCCCTTCCCCCTACCCCAAGGATAAGCCTATATCAACACATTATAATCACCCCAAATCCATAGTTTACCTTAGGATTCACTCTTTATCTAAAAGGATAATGCTGTACACCCATCTTTATAATATCATACAGAGTGAATGACGCTGCCCTAAAAATCCTCAGTGCTCTGCCTATTTATCTCTCCTCACCCCACCACAGCAACTGCTGATCTTTTTATGGTCTCCATAGTTTTATCTTTTCCAGAATGTCTTATAATTGGAATCATACAGTACGTAGCCTTTGCAGATTGGCTTATTTCCCTTTGTAATATGCATTTAAGTTCCTTCCATGTCTTTTCATGGCTTCATAGCTCATTTTTTATGTGAACACTGAGTAACATTCTATTGTTTGGGTGTACTCCATTTATTTATCCATTCACCTAGTGAAGGACATTTTGGTTGTCTCTAAGTTTTGGTAGTGTGTGTGTGTATAAACATCCATGTGCAAGTTTTTGTGTGGACATAAGTGTTCACCTCCTTTGGGTAAAATACCAAAAAGCATGATGGCTGGATCTTATGGTAAGAGTACGTTTAGTTTCTTAAAAAATCACCAGTTGTCTCCCAAAGGGGCTGTACCCTTTTGCATTCCCACCAGCAATGAATGAGGATCCCTGTTGTTCCACATCCTCACCAGCATTGGGTGCTGTCACTGTTCTAGATTTTGGCCATTCTAACAGGTGGTACCTCATTATTTTAATTTGCATTTCCTGCTCAAATCTCATAAAGTAGATTTTCATATGCTTATTTGCCAACTGTGTGTGTGTGTGTATGTGTGTGTGTGTGTGTGTGTATATATATATATATATATATATATATATATATATATATATATATATTGTTGTTGAGGGGTGAGGTGTCTCTTAAAGTTTTTGTCCTATTTTCTAATCAGGTTGTTTGCTTTCTTATCATTGGATTTTAAAAATACTTTGTATATTTTGGATAGCAGTCCCTTACTAGATGTTTCTTTTGCAAATATTTCCTCCCAGTCTATGGTTTGTCTTCTGAGTCTCTTGATACTGTCTTTCACAAAGCAGAAGTTTTTCATTTTAATGAAGACCAGTTTATCAATTTTTCTTTCATGAATCGTGTCTGGTTGTATCTAAAAAGCATCACTATACCCAAGATGACGTAGGTTTTTCTCCTATTCTATCTTGTAGGAGTTTTATGGTTTTTCATTTTACATTTAGGTCTGTGATCCATTTGTAATTCATTTTTGTGAAAAGTGTAAGGTTGTCTCTAGATTCCTTTTTTTTTTTTTTTGCATGTGGATGTCCAGTTGTTCCAGCACCACTTGTTGAAGAGACTCTCCTTTATCCATTGTGATACTTTGCTCCTTTGTCAAAGATCAGTTGACTATATTTGGGGGGGGGTGTCAATTTCTGGGCTCTCTATTTTGTTCCATTGATCTATTATCTGTCCCTTTGCCAATATCACACTGTCTTCATTACTGTAACTTCACAGTAAGTCTTAAGGAAGCAGGTAGCATCAGTCCTCCAACTTTGTTCTTCTCTTTCAATAATGTGTTGGCTATTCTGGGTCCTTTGCCTCTCCATATACACTTCAGAATCAAAATCCATAAATGAACTTTCTGGGATTTCTATGGAGATTGCATATACATCATATTGGGGAGAAATGACTTCTTGATAATACTGAGTCTTCCTATCCAGCACCTGGAGTATCTCTCCATTTATCTAGCTCTTTTTTTTTCATTTCATTCATCAGAGAGGCAAACTATAAGAGTTAATAGGAATAAGGTACCCAGGGATAGAAGGCAAGAGCATTAAGATGGGTGCCGTCTGGTTGTGCCTCTCCAAAGTTAGAGCACATGCAAAGCTGGCTGCCACAGTGGTGCCTGAACAAGAGACAAATGGGTCGGTAGACATTAACTGATGCATAAGATGTGTCAGAGACATTGGCTAAAAGCATAACCCTGAGGTTTACCTTTACCCAGTGAGGTCAATGGAGGCAATACCCAGCTGATAGTCTAGCTTCAAATTCAGTAAGAATATGATTCTCTTGGTGCCAGCATTTCTTTATTGGGTATTACATTTTCTATACAAGGGAGACATGAAGCAAACATTTTAGAAGGAGGTCACTGTCACTGGGTATCTGTGAGCTGCGCCATCCCTACTTCTACTACTTTATTTCCTGACTCATGTATTCTGGCTAAAGGAGGAATAGTTATCATGTATCACGCTGGTTCAAAGAATATTCTCAACCTACCAGGCAGCACTCCATATTGAGAACGTTTACCTAACCAGCCGGAGGCATACCTGAAGTTTAATAAGCCATTCTACTGTTTATAAGGCCAGCTGCTTCTGGGTGTTGGCTATATAATGAGACCAGTGACTCTCAATGGGCTGTAGCCCATTATCTTACTTGGGCTCTTTGGTTAGGAGCAATGTTGTGCAAGATACCATGACCATTTATAAGGTCCCTACTAAGTCCCCAGATGGTGGCTTTGGCAAAGTATGACAGGCATGCACAATAAAACCAACTTGTGAATCCTTCATGGGTCTTGCTGTACGCTTCATTCAACACCCTGATCTCTCCCCCAGACCCTGGGAGAATGATTAGATCTGCTAGGTCTTCAAGGCTGCAGGACAAAGTCAACGGTGCCAGATCAGCAGAGGAGCCCTCTCATGCTCTGAGTTCACTCAGACCTGATGGCTTTTCATTCACCTGTGCAATGGGACTCTGCAGCACACACAAATGTCATAGCTGTTGCCTCCAACATGTGTCTCTTCTGGTGGAGGGTGCAGAGCACAGTGCCCTCCTTCACTGTGATGGCACTAATGGAGTGGCCCAGCTAACATGATGTCTTTGGGGTAGTGGGCAGTAAAAGTCTCTTGCCCTCAGTGGCCACAAGGTTCCAGGTGACCATAGTTCAGAATAGGTGTCAGAGGTGATGTTGAAACCTAGGGCACACAGAGATGGACAGGTTAAGATGGGCCACCAGAGTGACTAGAAACCAAGAAAAGGTGAGAGATGGCAGAGATAGAAAGTGAGAGGATACTCTACCATAGATACATTTGTAATTTTCATGAAGAACCCTGGAGATAATCACTGTGCCACTGAAATCCTGCTCTCCTACCTTAATTCTTTCTTGAACAGGGAAGTTTACAAACAAGAATTTCAAAATTATGCTCTGATCTCTTTTTGGCAAGTATACCCAATGATGATTTTAAAATATTGAGTCCTTTTTCAGTTCACAACCATCTCTCCAGTCAGACTCTCCAGTATATTATCTCCACAAGCATTTCTCATGGTGTGTTTATAGAGTACTATTTCAGAGCAAAGTTAATACAAACCAAACAACAACAAAAACCCAATAATTCCGTGAGCATGGGAATGACTAGGCTAAACATGTGTCTTTACATTAGAATTCAATAGAAACTTTGATATGTAAATGAACATACAGATTTCCCAAAGAATGATATAGGATACAGTGTTTCATGTATTTGTTAAGCTGGGAATAAAACTTAGACTTTCCTGGCTTCAAGTCTTGTGGAATTGAGAGTTGTGGTAGAAATACTACCAAACTTTGAGACAGGACACCCAGGTTTAATTTCCAGGTCTTCTTTTCCGTTATTACATCATTAGGAGTGGTTACTTAAAATGTCTGAATCTCTGTTTCTTCATCAATATAAAGATAATTCTCTAACTTACCTAAAGGGCTCATCATGAAAATTAAATAGGTTATTGGCTGTAAAATCACCTACTTAGTAATTAATGCCAAATACATATAAGTTCTCCGTTTAACTCCAAACCACATGCTCTTTTATCCTTTCTTTCTTTTTTCCTATTTATTTATTTATTCTTAGTACTCAACCAAGGATATTTTTCCTTTGATTTTTAGAGAGAGTGGAAGGGAGGCGGAGGGACCAAGAGAGAGAAACATCAGTGAGAGAGAGACACATGGGTTGGTTGCCTCCCACATGTGCCCCCACTAGGGCCAGGATTGAGCCTGCAACCAAGGTATGTGCCCTTGACTAGAATTGAACCCGGGGCCCTATAATCCATGGGCCAATGTTCTATCCACTGAGCCAAATCAGCGAGGTCCAAACCATATGCTCTTAAAAATAAAAGTGCAGTGTTTAAAAATCCATTGTGAATTGTATTAATTATATTTAAAATGTTACATACAGAAATGAACCTAAAAGTCCATAACAGATGAAGGGAATATGACTTGACATTATATATATTTTATGTATAACAAGTGTAATAAGCTGCCATCCAGTGAATGAGGGAGGGGGTGACCCAAGCCTTTAGAAGGACAGTTTGTGAGTATAGAATAGAATAAAGATGACTGACCCACTGGTAGGAGAATATCAATGCAATTGTAGCAAAAACAAGGCAAATATCAAAAGAAAGGAGCACTTGGAAGCAGCATAGCCAGAGAAAGTAGCACTGCACCCAGCCAGGTTCTTGCCTCACTTTGCACATTTGGCCTTGGGCATTTAGTGGAGCCTAAGCTGCTGTAACTGAGAAATGGAAATGACTTTTCCTCTGCCTGGGCGTAGGAGCTGGATCAGATTCTCTTTTCCACTTCTCAGTTCTACATTTCCTTTGCACAGCTTTGCTTTCTATCTTGGTTGGCCTCTTTGTCCAAAATTGTTCAGTATCCCAAACTGCAAAAACGATAAGCATAAATTACTAAATCCTGCTATTAATTGTGCCTATAATTGCTCAGATTAAGTTCTATGGCTTAAAATTCTCTGGAGTTCATTCTAAAGCTCTTGATGTGTTCATTATTTCCACGGGGTCTCTTATCTTGAACCTTAAGAGGAAGGCTCTAATCCTGGGTAGTTTGAAACCAGGGCATGAAACCCTGGTTCCTTGCGTTGGTAGCGCAGCCACCCTGAATAGCGCACCACTAGATGGCGCTGAAGATCCGGCCGTAGCAGGAGAATTGGGGATAAACACACAAAGCTATTTTCCTCTGGTCTACTGGCTGGCTATAGGCGGTTATGTCCTTCATTGCCAGGGATCTTGGGGATGTCTTGGCTTGAATCTAATGCAAACAGTCTCTCCTCAGTGCTCAGCAGTTTGTAAACGGGTCGTGGGTTCAGCAATAGTATCTCTGGGTCTTATCACAAGATTCCTTAACGAGTGGATCTTTCTCTCCCTGCACCTTCGCTCAGTCCCCAAATCTGGGGCCTATCGTGTGTTTCTTCAACCATTCATTCAAGCACTTATTGCATATCTTAAGTGTCAGGTAAACAGAAAAAAGTGATGTGGTTTGAGAGGTACTGGACTTCAGCATTTTTTTTCTTAGTCTGCCATCAGTATCGGGCCTGGTTACTGTGCCTCAGGGTGACTGCTCAGTCCCTACACTCATGGGACCAAGTTGCTGGCAGCTGAGCTGTGTTTCCAGGAGGAATCAGAACGGAAATACTGGGGTTGTTATATTTACAACAGCCCATAATCCCTCTCTCCTCTGAGACACGCCATCAATAGAACTGGGCATGTAACTTCTCTGCCTAATCCCTTCCCCCAAGCAAGCTGCCCTAACAGCTTTTTCTTTTTAATTCAGCTCTTGCTATTTAACTAATATGATATAGTTTTTGGTCTTTTATTTTTTAATGTTAAAAAGTCTGTTGGGAGTACACTATGATGGAATATTTTTCAACAATTAAAAATGAGCTGTCAATGAAATAACATGGAGAAACTTTAAAAAGCATATTACTAAGTGACAGAAGCCAGTCTGAAGGGCTATATACTAGATTCCAACCATATGACACCTGGAAAAAGCAAAGCTATGGAAACAGTTAAAAGATCAGTAGTTGCTAGGGGTTGGGAGGAGGGAGAAGATAAATAGGTGGAACACAGAGGATTCTGGGGGCAGTGAAACCATTCTGTGTGATACTCTAACAGCGAACATATGTTGTTATACATCTGTGTCCCCCAGAAGACATGCTGAAGTCCTAACCCCCAACACCTCAGATTGTGGGCTAATTTGGAAATAGGATCTTTAAGTTCTAATTAGTTAAGACGAGGTCATATTGGAATAGGACAGACTGTCGCTCACTATGACTGGTGTTCTTAAAAGAAGAAAGACACACCGGAAAGAGTGCCACGTGAAGACAGGGACACCTGAGAGGAGGAGGCCTGTGACAACAGAGGCAGAGGTTGGAGTGATGCATCTACAAGCCCAGGAACGCCCAGGATTGCCAGAAAACACCAGAAGCTAGAAGAGGCAAGGAAGGATTCTGCCCTGCAGGTTTCAGAGGGCGCATGGACCCGCTGACACCTTGAGTGCTGCTTTCCAGCTTCCAGAACCATGAAATAACACATTTCTGTTATTTGAACCCACCAGTGTGTGACGCTTGGTCATGGCAGCCTTAGGAAGCTAACATAGCCTTCATTTTGCTTCCCTCTCCTCCTAAGTGACCTGACCCGTTTCCACGAATTTAAAAACCACCTGTTGCCCTAGCCGGTTTGGCTCAGGGGATAGAGCAAAGGCCCTCGGATTGAAGGATCTCAAATTCAATTCCAGTCAAGGGCACGTACCTCAGTGGTAGGCTCAACTCCTGCCCTGGTTGGGGCATGCACTGGAGGCAACTAGTTGATGTTTCTCTCTCTCTCTGTCTCTCCCCCTCACTTCCACTCTCTCTAAAATTCAATGGAAAAATGTCTTCAGGTGAGGAGTAACAACAAATTAAATTAAATTAAAAAAATGAATAAAAACCATCTGTTTGCTAATGATTCTCCGGTTTATACATGAAAGCTGTATTTATGTGAACAGTGATTTCACTCTACCCACTTGGCAAAGAAAAAGATCTTTTCCCATTTTCCCCATTTCCACAAACCAGGCTTGGGTGTCCATTAACCCAGAGAAGGTATTGTGTGGGGCAGGGGAGATGGGAGTGGCCACAATACAAAAAGAAAAAGAAGGAAACCCTAGTTTTGAGCTCCCAAAGGTTCAGGTGCATGAGATACTAGAGTTTTCAAAGGTAATTTCAAATTGTGTCTGCTTTGGCCTTATACACTGACTTTACAACTTGCCCCTGAAGTCAGATGAGACTCTCTTATCTCTCCAGCCTGCACCCCACCTTTTTCCCCACTGGTATAACTGACCACTGGACCCATCTGCTTGAATATATCACAAACATCTCAAACAAAAATGTCCAAATCTGAACTTGGATTTCCTCTCTAACCAGTTCCTCTTCTATGTCCATTGCCACCTTGCTAATCCCAACCATTATCATTCCCCATGGAGTTCACTGGAAATAACCTAACTGCAAACCCTACTTTCTCATTTGCCTCCACACCGTCCATTCCCCAAATAATAGCAGTGGTGTCACAGCTACTCTGCTGAAAATCTTTAAAAATCTTCCCAATGTCCTAAAAATAGTCTCCTAAGTCCTTACCAGGGTCACAAGGCCCTGTGAAATCTAGCCCCGGCCCACCTCTCCAACTTTGCCTTATGTTTGTTTTTCTCCCCATCACTCACTGCATTCCAACCATCCCGGCTTCCTACATTCTTCCCAAACATGCACACTCTTTCCCACCTAATTGCCCGCCTCTGGCCGAGGGAACAGCAGTAATGTGGAGGATTTACATGGCTAGCTTCCTCTTAGCCCTAGATCGTAACTGAAAAACATCTCCAAGAGGCCTTCCCTAACTCCTGAGTCTATAGAGGTGCTCCACACTTTTCTCTCATTGCACCCCATTTTCCCCTTTTGAGAACTTCTTATAATTTGTAATTATATAGTCATTCATTAGTTTCCCTGTTTATTGTCAGCCCCACTTACTCCCCCACCTCACCCAGATTATAAGCTCCATATGGACAGGGGCCCTGTCTGTCTTGTTCTTTAACATATACTAGTATTCAGTGGTGAGCATGGTTATGGACTGAATTGTTTCTCCCAAAATTCATACGTTGAAATCCTAACCCCCATGTGACTGTATGTGG